AATCCTTCGGACCTCTCCAGAAGAGACGAAGTCATTTTTATTCGATTGCACATCGGACACACGGCCCTGACCCACAAATACCTCCTACAGGGAGATGAGAAGCCGTTCTGTGTCGGATGCGACACAGATTTTACCATTAGACACATCTTAACCGAATGTCTGGACTTTGGAGAGATCCGAAGGAAATATTATAAATGCAAGAAATTGCAAGACATTTCTTTCCGTCATTGGTCCCAGCAGAATTTTGAATTTCATGAATGCCATAGGCCTTTATGGCAAATTATAAAGTGAAATCGTACTATTACAATTTTTTTATGATAAGTAGAAAAATTATTTTAGATTGAAATATATATACATTGATTTTTTAACATTTTAACATTTTTAAGATTTAACCACTGACCCGAGCCAGCCGTACAGTAAACTGTTGTGAACAAAACTAACTTGTGTTTCGCGCGCTCATATGACCTTATGCAGTTGCGAGCGCCGTAAAATCGCGTACTAAACAAACAAACAAACACACACACACGCACACACACACACACACACACACACACACACACACACGCTCATACACACACACACACACACACACACGCACACACACACACACTGTCTCTCTCTCTATGTAGCGGTCTCTCTCTCTCTCTCTCTCTCTCTCTTTCTCTCTCTCTCTCTCTCTGTCGCTCTGTCTCTCTGTCTCTGTCTCTGTCTCTGTCTCTCTCTCTCTGTCTCTCTCTCTCTCTCTCTCTCTCTCTCTCTCTCTCTCTCTCTCTCTCTGTCTTTGATGTCTTTTATTGACACTTAACAACAACGTGGGTGCAGACGAGAGAAAATTTCAAATTTTGGTTCACCCACCGCCACTGGATACCTCAGAATCGTATTCAGACATCTTAATTAAACACTCTCTTAGTAGCCTATAACTCCTAACGTCAGGAGCTTCGTTAAACTGGTCGGTTTCCTCTAGTATTTTTGCAAAGTCCAGATGCATGCACATCTGCGTACGGTCGGTTAACACCAAGCCTTAGCCTGTCCCGGCGGTTTTATGAACACAAAAATTTCTGAAATTATGCAAACTGAACCCAAAAATGTGAAATTATTCGATTCTGTTAATTTTAACAAAGAATGATAAAGAAAAATAATAAGAAATTATGCAAAAAATACGATCAAAGTTTGCAAAATTATGCGGGGTGCATAAAACCACGGGGACATCTTAGCGCAGGTAGGGCGTACGGTCCCTTAGCGTCAAGCACTATTGAGGCGTACGGTCCCCTAACATCGGCCTATAAACATTGAGCAAGACCAAGCCATATTGTGAACTGTTGTGATTGCAACCAAATTGTGTTTTACGCGCTGGTATGACCCTATGCAGTTGCGGGTCTGTGAAACTCTTATTAAACAAACGTATTTGGGCAATGTGTAGCCCGAATAAGGTAATCAGCCTCGAGCAACCTTATTTGGCATACACTTGTCGACATAATAGACGGTGCCCATTGTGGGATCAGTTCAGTTCAGTCTGGACTTTGGAGAGATCCGAAGGAAATACAGTGGAATCCTGATATATCGAGAGGGAGGGGACCGATGCAAAATGTCCGTTATAGCAGGATTCTCGTTACAAGGAATCCAGTAATAAATTCAGGGGAAATAATAAAGTAGGCCTAGTCCATGAGTCTGGTGGTTTGTTTATTTCTTTTCGTTATCTCCCCATGTGATGATTTGGTTCAACATGACCTCTAGGTCTTATATTATACTTGATCAAAAATCGAATCAGGTTTCTTTCTCTAGCGCTAGCAATGTGGACAGCTCGGTTTTGGCGATCAGAAAGAGGGGGCTCTGGCTCTAGGCTAACTCACCCGCTGTGTTGTCCCCCACCCCATCACACCCTGTGGTGAGTTCAGTCTGCTTGCGCCCGTCACACATTCACTCCGTCCATCACAGCACTGTGACCTCTCCATCACCGCATCGGAGAAGTGAGAGGCATGGAAGGCTTAGATAATCTAGACTACGCTGACCTATCATGCGATGCGTTCTCTACCTGTCTGTGCATACCACACCTTCTCCGTTCATTCGCTCTGGCCTTCATTATTGGCACACGTGGGCTCCCCCACTCTTTGTTTTGCTATATCACCAACAAGTTTCTCAACCGGTGAGGTTTTACATGTATAAAAAACAGCCTATGCGCTGTGTACAGCAGCAGCAATATGCCACTATAACCGACTAACATATTAGTCTGAGTACGCTATAGCAGTATTTTATTTACAAAAATAAAGAAGTAAGAAAACGGGGTTTCAGAATAGTGTCTTTATAACAGACTTTTCGTTGTTTCAGGACTCGTTATAAGTGGACTCCACTGTATTATAAATGCAAGAAATTGCAAGACATTTTTTCCGTCGTTGGTCCCAGCAGAATTTTGAATTTTATGAAGGCTATTGGCCTTTATGGCAAATTATAAAGTGAAATCGTACTATTAAAATTTTTTATGTTAACTAGAAAAATTATTTTAGATTGAAAAAAAAATTTAAAAAAAAATAAAAATATATATATATATTTACACTGATTTTTAAACATTTTAACATATTTAAGATTTAACCACTGACCCGAGACAGACGTACAGTAAACGGTTGTGAACAAAACTAACTTGTGTTTCGCGCGCTCATATGACCTTATGCAGTTGCGAGCGTCGTAAAACCCCGTACTAAACAAACAATCAGTTACACCCAGTGCCCATTCGCAAGACCGGAGAAACCGATGGTGACCTTCAAAAACAAACAAACGTTATGGAAAGAATAATGATCACAATGCCTATTTCAAGCGAGAATCATAAACGTAAAATTTTAGAATAAAAGAAATATTATAATTATAGATCTCATGATCTGAGGGTGATTATTAGACCTAACTATAATGTTAGAAAATATATTCAAGGACAAAAGACATTGTACATACCTTATATGGCCAGAGATTGATGAAGTAAAGGTCAGCAGTAGCCAAATTTTACTCAGAAGCTGACGTAAGTTGATACCGTTAGTTGAATGAGTTCCAAGTTTCAGCTAAAAATTATTTGTTGAGGACGACAACTCTATGGTTTCTGATTCACCCAACTGCCTTATAATGCGCCTGTTTGTACACGTGTTCAGAATTTGAGTCCAGGATTCACTTCAATGAAAATTATTTTATCCTCAAGACCTCTTCCTTGATGAGTGTGTCGTTCAGAAAAGGAATCTATTATGTATGGAAAATGGGTTTGCCAGTACAATATTTGGTTTCTATGCACATTTTCTTTTTTCCGTGAGTATATTTGTAACAGAAAAGTACGAAAGATAATTTTAAATTTCCAACAGTTTAAAATACTACAATGATTGCTTCTAATAACAATCTACTATAGAACATTTCCCTTGTGTTTACCCACTTTGACCATGAAATCAGGGGCGGCTCGTGGGTCTAAAAAGTGGACGTGCACAATTAAGCTATCTTAGGCTGAAGATAATCAAGGGCAGAGTAAACGGGATGGTGATAATTTTAGGATCTTTGGGTTGGTGAAGGAAGACCTTGTGCTTTTATTTTCATTCTTTTTACTTGTGGCTTTGACTTCTAGGACTACATCTGTTTGTTAGCTAAACGTCAATTTCATTCATCCTGCATTAGAACTGAACACACAAGTAATACCTTTCACCACTCCACTACAAAACCGTTCAAAAGCACAACTCATAGGACGGCGACTTAAGTATGTCACGTTCACCTCCCTCAGGTTCAAGGTCACAGAGTCACTTAAAATAGCGACAAGACAATGAACCAATCACAATTCACTTGAGCACCCCGCTGCATTGCTCCGGGGCCCACATAATTTTGGCATGGAATAGTGCACAGTCTATGGCGTTTATTTTTAGATTGCCTACTGTGGGCTATGTTTCGGCGATATTCGGCAGGAGCACATTTGAGATGTGCCGTCTTATTAATATTAATGTACCGCCAAACTCTCTACAAGGGTCGTCATCGCTTGGGTTATCCCAAACAGCGATTTATAGGTCAGGTTTCCACTGTTGACTGTCTTGTTATTTTTAGATACAGCGCATGAACTTAGGCATGGCATAGTAGATGTTTTACGGCGTTATAGAATAGAAATGACAGTTACGGCGTCAGCGAGGGCCTTGTTTTAATACATTTTGTATAATATTTGACTAGTATTTGTTTCTGGCGTCTTTTATTTTATTATTGTGGGTGCTTTGCGTCATAGAACATTAAAATATTTTGGACGGCACTGCACGACCGTGCTCTATGGACGAACCGCGCCTGCATGCAATGTTTTTCCTCCATTTTTGAAATTCATGACTGGTTACTTTAGCATTTTGTATGTTGATACCCCCCAAACCCCTTTAAGAGCCACATATTTCATTGGTAGGCCTACACCATAGGATGAACATTTTTAGCTTGAAAATTCCAATATGAACTTCTGCAGATTACTCCAGTTCAGGCGATTTCAATTTCTTGGAAAAGAGTTAAAGAGAAAAGGTTATATAGCAAAAGTAAGCTGTATCATGTAACGCTCATCTGCTCTTTGACTCCTGTGGTACTCCACGTCTGACTTTTCTTTGAGAAGCCAGTAAAAAAGACGTCTCTGAGCTTGGTTTTCTTTCACTTTCAGTTACGCTAACAACAGAAAGTGGAGTGGCTCACACAGCTATTGTTTCGAAACACGTGACCACTGACAAGCTGGAAGCCAGTTGTACTGTTGCTGCACCAACACTGTTGTCTGTCAATAGGTATGATCCAAAGAAGTTTTCATCGGCTTTAACTATTTTCTTTTACTTACAATTGTTCTCTCTCTCTCTTCACGTTAGAAATACAATGTATTGAATATCCCTTTTAACTTCTCTTTTTTTAGTTTGAGTTTAGTTGGGGCTCAACTAGGGGAGTGAAGATTACAATGCAACGGGGATTTTAGTTTGGTTTTGAGGGTTTTGTTTGCTGTTCTTTTTTCTTTTGAGGGGAGGGGGAAAGGGGGGGGGGGGAGGCTTGGCGTAGAAATATTGATAATTGTGTTCCATAATTGCATGAAAATTATTTGTACAGAAGATCAACATGAACTAAATAAGATCAATTGCTTAAGAGAATTATATGAAAAACAACAACTAACCACTAATCTAGACTATCGTATTATCTAATGCGGTGGATGTTTCGAATAATCGAATTGAGATGGAGTGAGCGTAGTGTTTTGTTTCTTTAGGGGGGCAGTCTCGGGAAGACAAGAAAATTAAAAAAAATATAAATATCGCTCTTGGCCTAATGATAAGCACGACTAAACCTTGACAATGATGTTCTCAGATGTTTAAAAAAACAAACCATTGGAGAAGTCTCATAATTTACCTTGTACCCCCCATGCAAACAGCCTGTACAGCTTATGGTCTTTCAAACCCATCGAATCTACGAATTTGACAGCCAGTCAACATCCATACGTTTATCAAGTCGCGACCTTTGACACGGACAATCGACTGTGTAAGTGAATATTAACGTCTAAGCTTAATTTTCCTCGTTCATCAGATGTCCGTTCAACAGTTACTCTAACGGTTTCAGAGCACCTTTGGGAGTTCCTGCTTCTTTGTTTCCTCCTGTTGTTTTGAGATCATTTTAACCATCTGTGAATTTTTTTCATTGATCTGCCTGTTTGCTTTTCCTTTTATTTTATTCAGCATCATGAGAACAGCACAAGAAAAAAGGCAAAAATATAAGACCAGTAGGGTCGATTTCCGAAATCGCGACTAAAAAGATAGTTATAGGTTTAGCTCTATTATAAAAGTTAGAAATGCATTTTGAAAAACTCCATTGATTAACCTTTCTGCCTCTCTCTCTTTTCTGAAAATTTTAGAACGCTCTGACACCTCCGACAACAGAATTTTAAAACTTATAATTAAACTGCAGTTTTTATGTCAATCTGAAAAAAACTATTACAATAGTTTGGCTTCCAAGCAATGTAGGCATTGATGGCGACGAAGCCGTTGACCAATTTGCAAAAGAATCTCTAAAATTATCTGAAAATGAAAATAGTAAAATCCCTTTCTCTGACATGAAACCGAAAGTAAAAGAACACATCAATCACATCTTCCTGGTCCCAAATTTGGAACCAACAAGTCCTCAACAAACTCCATTACATTCAATCGAAACTTGCGCCCAGGAAACCCATGTTTCTCCCACGAAGAGAAAATGGTTTCTTATACCCCAAAAAAAAGGACACACACACGTCTGACACAAACATTTACTCGAAAGAGTGGAAGCTCCTTTTTGCGTGGCGTGCAACATGTACTTTACAGTTCGGCACATCCTGACGGAATGTGTCGACTTCAATGATATGCGCACAAAATACTTTAAATGTAAAGATGTCAAAACTCTTTTTGACATTGTTAACCCGAGAAAAAGTTTAAGTTATACTAAAGAAATAGGACTGTTTAATAGGATATAAAAATATATAGTTATCGTTGTAGGTGTATATACATACCATGAAATTATATTATTTTCAGTTCAAATATACACATAACTAATTCAAAGAACGCATAGAAAGACCAAATTACACCAAGCAAATCCAAATATACAAATGACGTCATAAAAAGTCCTAATACAACAACAGCAAGTTCAAATGTAAACATAGAAATCGCAAATGTAACACATAGATAATTCAAATGCCACATAGCAAGTTCAAATGTAAATATGCTTGAACTAGAGTAAAAGTAAGTGGTTGGCGGGTGCTCTGATGTGGTTTGCTCCTTCTTTCCTATCTAACATCTATCATCCTGATCTCTCCTCCTTCTTTTTTGTGTCTGTTACTCTCTTGTAACACCTCTAATCTTCGGCACTTATATGACCTTATTCTGTTGCAAGTGCCGTAAAACTCTTACTAAAACTAAAAAGGGGGTTAAAAGTATAAGAAGTATATCAGGGTAAGAAGTAAAAGGGTTTGGGTTTTTTGGCCACGAAAAAGTTCGACGTAAGCCGAGAGGTGCCACAATAAAGAAATCATGTGAAACGAAACTAATAGTTAAATTAAGTTTAAAAAACGAAGATAAACCCACATGTTTAAACAGAAACGAATGGTTATGATGCAAATCAACATACTGCTGGTATATTATAGAACTAACTGAGGGAAATCTAAAGCCAAGTTTACTTTTATTTACTTATTGTTGCTTTACAAAACGCTGTGGCTTATAGGCTTGCATTGATCTGAAGGGCGCTGCCATTTTCGCTGTAGTCACAGCTTGGGTTTTTTGTTCCATCATCTGGGCAAGTGTGACCATCCTTTGTTGGTGAGTCAGCTGAGTGAGCATTGATTTGGTCTTTTGCTGTACCTAGCCACGGTTTCAAATCGTATTTCCAAATCCACAAGCGTTCTCGTAGATGTTAAGAAAAGGTGTTTAGGGGGGTAGATATTTCTTCCCCAATCTATTGACGAGTTGCCATTTAAAGCCTGCCGTTGTGCACGAGCATTGTTACATACGAAGCATACTTCGTTGTGGGGATTGTTTGAACAGTTTCTTAGAGGGATGGGTTGAAATGAAAGCTGCCATTCCCTCTACTTGAAAGTCGTAAAAGACCAGGCCACCCTCGTCACTGGCGGCAAATTAAGCCCCTATGGCATCGTGCAGCTCGGTCCCCTTCGACTCTGCATTACCCGAACAAAGCATTGAGCACTCCGTGCTCTTCATCGGTTTCTATTCGTCAACGGCTTGCTACCAGCTTCCTCAATAAAAGCAAATTCATACCGCTAAATGTTCTTCATCAGCCGTGCTGCAGATTGATATCTAGTTGCTTCTGTCCTATCTGAATTTCTTTCCAATGGAGCATCCTTGTGATTTTGTAAATGGTGATCAATTCCCATTAAATTTAAACTGCTTATGGTTGTCGTCAACTCAGTTTGAGCACATATAAATGCTTTTCACACTGAATAGTCTTTGTGGAGGATATAATTTGCTTTTGCTATGTGGCATTTGAACTTGCTATTGTGTAACATTTGGATTTGGTATTTGTACATTTGAATTTGTTACGCACAATTGTGCACTAACATTTCCTATTGTACATTTGAAATTGTTATGTGGCGTGAAACTTTCTGTGTGGCATTTGAACTTGCTATGTGGCATTTGTATTTTTTATGTGTACATTTGATCTTTAAAAAACTCTATAATATTGTAAATACAAATGTAAATAAGTCTTTACCATATTTACAAACATTTTCATAAATGTCTGTCCGTCCTTTTAGCATGAAGATAATACCGTGTGCAGTTGTGAGCGCCGAAAACTCTTACTAAAACATGACATCAGTAAATCCTGTTGGCACTTAAATTACAAAAAAATGAGTCGATAGTGCTGTTAAACACCCACCCAATCAATCAAAAAACCGTTGATTAAATTATCCTTCTTAGAAATTTTCTGCAAATGGCAATGTCAATGCATATTGAAAACCATAATTCAGAAGTTACGACAACATTACATTGTTGTATCAAGTACAATACATTGTATACAGATACAAGGGCTTGTTTGTTGTGCCCAAAATGATTAAGAAGTGCAGCGTTAACATTACATCTAAATCTAAACGTAGTTTTAAGACAGTGAAGAGGAAATAACTGGAAATGTCTTCTTTTTTTTTTTTGGTAAGTGTTTTACGGCGCTCGCAACTGCATAAGGTCACATGAGCGCGCGGGACACACCTAATATTTTCAGTTGGTAGGAAATTTTGAATTTTGCCCGGGTGGCGGCTGAAGCCTATTCTCATCGATTTTAAACCTCCAAGGGATCTTTAACGTGCGCAACTTGCACACGGGCCCTCTGAGATTTTTCGCCCTTGACCGAGAAGGGTAGGTGTAGATCTTTCCTACCAGAAGATCAGAGGTGTGGCAGAAAGACAGCAGTAAAGAGGAGCCAAGGAGTAGCGGTAGAAAGGCTGCGAGAGGAGGGTGCAAAGGAGATGAGAGGGTGGGCGCAGAAAGTGAAAATGAAAGCAGACAACAGAACATTGCTAGAGAGCAGGAAAGGAGGTAAAATGAGACAATTTTAGAGAAGAAAATTTTTCGGTCGCTACCCGGATTCGAACCCGGGACCTTTGAATGAGAGGCCAACGCCTTAACCTCTACGCCACGAGAGCCCCCTGGAAATGTCTGAAAGGAAAATGATGTGCAAAATGTGGGGAAGACATAGATGAACAATGATATCTGATATAATGTCTGTACATTTAAATAAAAGTATAACAGAGATGAGATGTTACCGCAAACTCCTTGACATCTCATACAAAGACCACATTTCAAATGCTGAGGTAAGGAACAGAATCACCAACGCAGTGGGGCAGCATGAAGATCTACTGACCACAGTGAAGAGACGAAAATTAAATGGTATGGGCAAGTCATAAGATTCACAGGACTTGCCAAAACAATCCTACAAGGAAAGAGAGGAAGGCAGAGAAGGAGAAGGGAGGACAACATTACAGAGTGGACAGGAAAGACGATGGGTGACTATCTGAGGAAAGTAGAGGACAAGAGAAATGGCGAGAGCTGGTCGTCAGATGCAGTGGTCAGAAGAAGATTACAAAAAGGTGGAGGAGTTTTTTTTTTTTTTTTTTTTTGGGGGGGGGGGATGTTAAATAGAGACCTAGTGATTCATGCAAGTAGAACTTTTAAAAAGCTGTAGCGAAGGATAATGCAGAACGATTGCAGGATTGTGCGCTACAGTTATATGAAAAAAACACACCTCTTCCACCTTAACTGTTACTTTGTTCGATCAAGGCTTGATGCGGCTGTCAATTCTTTGGATGGGAACGACCTCACATAGAAACAAATTTAATGCCGGACCCCGTACAAAACCCGAGGACTCTGCCTCGCCCTGGGGTCTTCCCGTACTTCTCCAGGGGAGGGCCCCAAAGCCAAGGCCAACATACCACCACTAACACTCACACGAACATGGCATTGGGCTCCGTGGAAAATTCTCCCCAAAACATCGGTTCTAATTCTGTCCGATTACTGGCTTTGCATCATTTCACTCACCAATCTAATCTCACACATTTACGCCCGAAAACAGTTTAATTGCATTTGAGGATTCATTCCTTGACTGTACCGGGAAAAATATCGTTCTTGCATGGCTGTTTAGCCAGGTCAAGTGAGCATTCAAGGAAGCGAGCAGGTCGATTTTCTGGCAAAAGAATCCTTGTCCCTACTGTTGGAATCAACCAAGAACACCCTCCTATATACGGTCTTTCAAATAAGGTCAAAGTCTACACCTCCACTCTGTGGCAGCAACACTGGAGCAAACAATTGAAAGACAAACATCACAGCGTTATTCCCAAACTGGGCCCACGAAAACATTCGAGCCTCTCAGAAGAGACGATGTTGTCTTTGCTCGATAACGTTGACAGTCTGACACACCTCCCTTACACATATTAGGTACCTCATGCGGGGCCATGAGAGACCCTCTTGTATCGGATCCGATATGGATTTTTCTCCCCAAGCACATACTTATAGAATGCCCATGGCTTTGGAGGGACCCGTGGGGAATATTCTAAATGTTCAAATTTACGTTGTTCCCCGTTATTGATCACAACAGAGTGCTCAGATACAAAGGCCATTGGCCTCTACCCTGAAATGTAAATTCATTTGTTATTTTAGAAAAGTAAATTGTTGATGTCATAACAAAATTCTTATTATCCATTTTATGTATTTGAATATCTATATTTTATCTATATTTGAACCAATTAGATTCGCTAAGTACAACCAAGCCATGCTACGAACTACAGTGAATATGACTCACCCGTGTCTCGCACGCTCATTTGACCTTACGCAGTTGTAAACCCTTGAAAATTTTACAAAAAACAAACAATCAAACAAAAACAAACAAACAAAAAAACAAACACTCAAACAGACAAACAAACCAACAGAGAAACAAACAAGTTAACAAACAAATAAACAAACAAACAAACAAACAAACAACAAAGAATTGAATGAAACGCAAAGCAAAATCATGTGTGCTTTATATTCATGTGTCTGTGTCAGTGAACGTTTTTACGTGTGCGATACATATCCTATAACCTCTTTGTAATTGGCCTTTTTTGTTTTTATTTGCCTGAACAACAGACTGAGTTAAGCTGAATTGATTTGTGGAACAGTTTTCCACTGAGAGGTCCAATTTATGCTGTATTCCTCTGTTGTTCTGTTTGTATGTCCTTTTCCATGCACCAAATATAATGTAATAGCCGCTGTTGCTCTGATGTGTTTCTCTTTACTCAATTTCCACTTATATATTATTAACTCATTTGTTGACTCACTAACTACGCCAGAACAATATTAATTATTCTTGCGTGTTCTCTTCATTCTCCCATTCTAAACAGAGACTGTGGTTAAAGGGTGTCACTGCTGTTGGCAGGTCCTACTTCTTTACTTTCCCTCAGAGGTCGCTGCCTGTCTGTCTTACTTTTTCTCGCTAATAAATGACCACTATTGTGTTAGTGTGCTTCTCTTTACTCAAACAAACAAAACAAACAAACTCTAAACAGAATTAACTGTGCCAGTCAGCATCTCTTTCCTTTAATATTTTGCGGGTCATTGGAGAGCACCACTGGTAGGTCCAATTTTATACTTTTGACTATTTCTCTCTAGTTTAAACCAGTCTACCTTGTTATCCCTTGCTCTAAAGGTGTTTTAGTGTCATTGTTGTTTTCATTACTCATTAAGCAAACCAAACACATTTTGTGTGTTCACCACATGCGGGCTAAAAGTATTCGGTAGACCCTTGCACTGACTTGTACCTTACGTATATCGTCCTTTGAAACAGAAAAGAACTTAAAAAAAATTCAACAAAAGAATTAACATTATTTCCCTTTTGTCGTGTATATACACCAAGATACTTTGTGAGGGTTCGCTTATTTCATTTATCCCATTACGTGTCTCATTCCCCATAACAAAAACTGAACGAAAAAGACACAAACTTCTCCCTGAGAGCAGAAAAAAGCTAAAATAAAAAAAATAAAAAAATACAGAATGTTCTCTGTTACTTTTATAAACACAAAAAAGACTGCGTGAGTGTGCTGTTGATGTTTTTTGGGGTCTTTGTTCTTTTTTTTTCTTCTCAGCTATCCCCCTCATTAGGAGCTTCTTTGAGAGCTTCCCGACCGTGCCTCTGGAGACCCGACGCCGTGGCGAGAGAAGTCTAATATGGGTGACCATGTGCTCTGCATACGGGGCGTGCAATGACGCAAGAGCAGGGAGCTCATTTTACTTGTCGGTATCGATCGTGCCATTTTAACAAACAAAAATAGATGTTAATCTAACAAAGATAGTCAATAACAAGATAGGCCACTCAGCCAAAAAAAGTGTCCGCAGGAAGTTCGCTCTTTGCTTCAGATGGCGCTGCAGTCTGTTTTGAAGCTCTCTTTCGTTTTTCCAGAAGAAGAATAGGAATAGCACTTCCTTGCGTGCGCAGATCGACTGCTGTTCATCAGCAGTTCGGGTTCGTTCAGTGCGGAGTTTTAGGTTTTAAAATTTTTTAATGACCTCTCGCCTTTCATTCTAAAGTCAAATTAAACGAAGAAAACAATCACCCTTTCCTCCGGAAGAGTTTTTTTGTTAGCGTAACCATTTTAAAAAGCGTTCTTCCGAAATTCATTAAAAAACTTGCTAGTTTCACTTTCATTTTTTAAACTCAAGTAGGATAACTCTGTTCGCAAAAGGTGCGCTTTTGCGAAGAGGGCGCCACCGAATTTTGAGGACACTTTTTTAATTGGCTCAAAGAGAGAAGTGGCCCCTCTTGTTATGTAGACTCTTTGGATCTAATCATTTTTGTTGTATTCGATTACTTTAACCTTATCCGTACGGCCTGGGGTCATTTTGTATCCCCGGGGTTGTATTCTTCACATTTTAGAATACTTCTGGAGCGAAGATCTCTTTGAAACTTTCAGTATTTCTTAAAAAAGCATTTGAAAGATTGTTATGCAAAGCGTACGGATCGGATTAACGAGTAAGTTTCCTCTTTGGAAAGTGGTGGCACAGAGTTCCCCACGTCGTATGGATACGATAGTAAAACACGACGTACGGACAAGGTTAAACATTATACGTGATATGAAATTGGAGTCGGAGTATAATCATAAGTAAACATTTAATGTACTTTAGACTAAAAACATCATTATCAATAATGTATGTGTCCATCCAACACTACAGCTCTTATTAGCTGTTACTTTTCTACTCCTGTCATGTTTTGTCGACTCTCACACATATTATGATTAGAAGGAAGCTGGAAGGTATGAAGGGTGGTGAGTAATTCTATGCGCTTGATATTCTTATCTTTATCTGATCTTAATAAAAGTCTGAATCTCTTCTTTTGTCTTTGAGAATCTCATGTACATGGTGATCCGAAAAACAACAACAACATGTACAACTTAAAAAAAAAAAACTTTTCCTCCACACTGAAGTTTAGCGTTTCAAATTTGTACACACCATTTGGAAGTCAAAAGGAATTTGTTTGACCTTCATTTTAGTTAAATCCACAGAATAGTTTTTCTCTACATAGCTCGTAAAAAAACAACCCGTTTTCAGCTATGTCCCCATGTTTTTTTTAGCATCACTCACTAGATCTAGTTCGCATTAGGCCTACCACTAAAAAACCTCCAAAATTGCGCCACATTGCAAACTACAACAGCCTTACAGTTACAGGTCAATATAAGTTTTTCATATCTACATTTTCTCAAATTTCCGTGGCCTGCTGAGATCATGGTTAAGATAAGTAAAAGCTGAGAGCTTTTTGTAGGGAACATTTCCTCACCACAAGGTACGGAAATACCGTTAAAGTGACCTGAAGCCTTCTTTAATGTCAAAGGTGAAAATGGTCTATCAGGTAGGACCTGCAGAGAACCAGAACTAAAAATTCCCAGACAAAACGACCATTTCAGGTCTAACACACACCGTTCGCACCCCTTTAAACGTCGCCAGGGTGCAAAATTCAGTAGATGAGCCCCAAGAGAGGTCTGTCCGTAGACGATGTCTGCAGCAATGACTTTCCAACATCTCAACGGTCTGCATTCCAAAGTCAGATCTTCATCCTCGACTGTACCATTTTCCGTTCGCGAAACTATCAGAGGAAAGCAATGTGTCCATGATTCCTCGATGGTCTTGAAAAGCGTGAACATTTCCTCTATGACATTTGGTTCTCCGGTAAAGTCCATATTCACTTTTCAGGTTATACTACCCGCACCTGCTCCCATTCCTCTACCCGCATCCGGGACTCCGGTCCTCCTCCCCCTCCACACCCTCCTTCAAAAAAAGCTGCGGTCCACCGAGACCGCAGCCAAACAAAACAAAGGCAACGGTCACCAACGGCCCAAAAAATATACCGAACCCGTGCCCTCAAAATAAATAAAAATGGTAGTTCTTCAGTGGAACATTCGCGGTTTGCGTGCAAACCAGGCAGAACTTTCATATCTTTTGACCTCACACCCCCCAAATGTAATTGCCAACATCCACATTCACATTAAAAAAACTATCAAACTTACAACCAAATATACACCAACAACCAAATGGCCTCTGGAGGCAACTCCATTTTAATAAATAACCAAACACTACACAGACAAATACAATTAAACACAACACTTCAGGCAGTTGCCGTCAGGGTCACTCTACACTGTCCTATAACTATCTGTTCAATATACATCCCTCCAAATTATCCTCTATCTTTAAGAGATCTAATAAACCCCAGAGAACAGCTCCCACAACCCTTCATCTTGTTGGGAGATTTTAATGCCCATAGCCCTCTTTGGGGAAATGAACCAACTGATACTAAAGGTAAAATCATAGAAGATTTCGTAACAAAAGCCAATACTAGTATTTTTAACGACAATTCACCAACATTTCAAAATTAAAATAACCTAAACTTTTCATCCATAGATTTAACCCTATGTGATCCAGAACTAATTCCAGACTTTCAGTGGTCAGTCCTGGACAACCAACACGGATCAGACCACTTCCCCATCAACGTAATTCCAGACATTCCACACCGAACTCCTATCCCGGACCGTTTCAATCTTAAAAGAGCGGACTGGGATGGGTTTCACATGGAATGTCTGGAGAAACTCAATCCATCTCAAACACAAACACAAACTTTTGAACGATTTCATGAAACCTTTCTCGAGATCGTTCAAAAACACATACCAAAATTATCCACCAAACCCCGAAAGAATAAATGGTGGTTCACTGAAGACTGCCAAAAAGCTGTTGCGGCCAAAACAATCAGCTCTCAGGAAGTTCGTCAACTCTAAAACAAACGAAGACCTCACTAATTTCAAAATTGCGCGAGCCCAAGCATGCAGAATAATCAGAACAGCCAAAAAACATCTTTTCGAAATTATGTCTCTAAAATAAACAACAACACACCAATGCACAAAGTCTGGAAGATGATAAAGAAATTAAAAGGTACTAGAAAAGACACAATCAAACACATCCAAAAACCGAATAACTCCTTCGTAGAGACCGAAAAAACAATAGCTGATTGTATAGCATCAACTCTCTCCAGAAATTCCTCTATCCACAATTACAACCCTGAATTCAAAAAAGTAAAAATGTCTTCTGAAAAGACAACTGTTGATTTTACCTCCTCAAATGAAGAAAACTATAATTGCAGCTTTTCTCTTAATGAATTAAAATGTAATATTGCAGAACTATCAAACACAGCTTCAGGCCCTGATCAAATACACAACGAAATCATCAGACGTCTTCCAGACGAAACACTCCTATTACTCCTTGATATTTACAATTCTCAACAATTTCCGAGCAGTTGGCGTCTTGCCACTATTATACCAATCCCAAAACCAGGAAAAGATCACTCTCACCCATCAAACTACCGTTCCATAGCCCTTACAAACTGTTTCTGCTAACTTATGGAAAAACCTATTAACAAACGTCTAATGTGGTTTCTCGAAACCTCAAACTCCTTATCCAAATTTCAATGCGGTTTTCGCAAAAATCTCTCTACTATTGACCATCTCGTCCGACTTGAAACTTTCATTCGGGAAGCTTTAATTCGGAAAGAGCACCTTGTGGCTATTTTTTTTTACTTAGAAAAAGCCTTCGACACCACATGGAAACATGGTATTTTAAAAGACCTGCGTGACTTGGGCTTACGCGGAAATCCTCCCGAATTTATACGAAACTTTTTGAAAGATCGATCATTTCAAGTAAAAGTAGGTTGAACCCTATCAAATCTTAGATTTACACACCCAAGAAGAAGGCGTCCCCCAGGGAAGCATCTTAACGCCGATTCTTTTCGAAATTAAAATCAATTCCATCACAAAAACCCTTCAAAACAATATTGACTGCTCATTTTACGTTGACGACTTCCTGATCTGCTATAAATCCAAATCCAAAATAAATCACATTGAACGTCAGCTTCAGCTTCAACTCCATAAACTGGAAACTTGGGCAAACGGGCACGGGTTTAAATTTTCTACAACAAAAACAAACTGTGTACATTTTTGTCTGTCGCGCAAGTGCGTGCGACAACCAGATTTATATTTGTTTGGAAAGAAAATTCCTGTAAAAAACAAGCTTGTTTCCTGGGCGTAATATTCGACAATAAACTTTCTTTCCTGCCGCACTTGAAAGACCTGAAGACGAGGTGTCAGAGTGCTCTCAACGCCTTAAAAGTACTATCCAATCCCGAATGGGGAGGAGATACCGAAATACTTCTTCAATTTTACCGTTCCCTTATCCGTTCCAGGCTGGACTATGCCAGTCCAGTTTACGGATCAGCTAGAAAATCTTACCATATAATTATAGACCCTGTTCAGAACCAAGGCCTTCGCCTTGCCCTAGGCGCTTTCCGTACTTCACCTGTAAAAAGTTTACAGGCCAAAGCTCATGAACCATCTTTAGAACTTAGAAGGAAAAAAACTCTCTTTGCAGTACGCTTTGAAACTTAGCTCAGTGCCCCAAAACCCAGCCCACAAATGTGTCTTTGGCCTTCCCGGAGATCTAAAAACTTTATCCTCCTTAGGAAATAAAGTAAGCCCTTTCGGAATAAGAATCCAGAACGATCTCAAAAACATTGATTTTTCTGAAGACATAATCGAGCCCTTTGCCATGTCCAGCGTACCTCCATAGCATTTAACCAAACCAAACATAGATACTAGTCTTGAAAAATGCAACAAAAAGTCTACAGACAAAACTACATACCTAAACTAATACAAACAGCTAATAAATAGATACCCTGAAGCAGAGAAACTCTTTACAGACGGATCC